AATCAAATGTATTAAAAAAAATAAAAGTTGGGTTGATACACTTCTTCTATGCAGTATTGCCGGATTTTGCATCAAAATTTTAAATCGCACAAGTAGGCGTTTATGAAAAATGTTGCATATAGGGTTGGGACTTTATTTTTCACAATTAGTTACTCATATTACTACAGCTGTAATAGATTATATTATACAGGGTGCTCCGAACTGTATTCCGGAAACTTCGGCAGCATATTCTGCAGATAAAAGTAAGTAAAAAAGTTCGTATAAATGTATGTTCTAAAATGCTTAATTTCGGAGATACAGGGTGTATAAGTTCCATTTTTATTTCGCTTTTTTCCAAATAAGTTTTGAAGTAACGTCCACATTTGGATGAAAATTGGTGTCTGGCATGAAAAATTTGATTTTGACATGAGAAAGTTGATTTTCATGCTAATATGACTCCTACTTGTAGGGGGCCACCTACATGTATTTTTGTTGAACTTTTGGCACAAAACATTTCAAATTTATGATTTCAGTCTAATAATTATTTAGTTAACATGTTTAATTTATGTCAATGATGACAGGTATTGATAATTTTGATTTCAAATATCTCGAAAACCATTACTCGTAGCGATTTTCACCATGAGACCTTTTTGACGCCGTCGTAAATGTATATTTTTTTAGTCAGTAGTTTTATATAGGTACGGACCAAAAGTTATTACTCTTCAAAATAGTTAAAACACATGTAGATTGTGCCTCCTTCTCCTTCAAATAGAAGTCATATTGACATGAAAATCAAATTCATCATGTCAAAAAACCGCTATACACCAATTTTATCGACGTTACTTCATAAATTATTTGGAAAAAGACGAAATTAAGATCAAATTTCTACACCCTGTATACAGTCCATAATAATTGCTAAAGTAACGTCAATATTTGGATGAAAATTGGTGTCTGGGAGTTTTTTGACATGAGAAACTTGATTTTGATTTCACTATGACTCCTACTAGTAGAGGGCGCCACCTACATATTTTTTAACTGGTTTGAAGAGTAATAACTTTTCTTCCGTACCTGCATAAAACTACTGAGTAAAAAAATATACATTTACGACGTTTTTTACGTGAAAAACGTCTCTTGGTAAAAATCGCTACGAATAATGGGTTTCGAGATATTTGGAATAGAAATTGTCAATACCTGTCAACATTGACATAAATTAAACATGTTGACTAAACAGTTGTTAGACTAAAATCACAAATTTGAAATGTTTTTATACCAAAAGTTCTACAGAAACTGTTTTATCATTATTTTTTGCAGAAAAAATTATGATTAATTTAAAAAAAATAAAAATTTCCTAAATTTATTATTTCAGCTATCTACTCAACGTGTTTATTTTTCGTCTATTTCCATGCTAAATATCTTAAGAACGGTTGCTCGTAGCGATTTTTATAAAGAGATATCTTTTACGTAAAAAGTCACAGAGATGTATATTTTTTTGCTTCGTAGTTTTATACAGGTACGCACAAAAAGTTATTACGCTTTAAAACAGTTAAAACACATGTAGGTGACGCCCTCTACTAGTAGGAGTCATATTAACACCAAAATCAAATTTCTCATGTCAAAAAACTACTAGGCACCAATTTTCATCCAAATATTGACGTTCCTCCAGAAATTATTTAGAAAAAATCGAAATAAAAATGAAACTTCTACAGCCTGTATTTCTGAAAGTAAGCATTTTAGGACATACATTTATACGAACTTTTTCACTTATTTTTATCTGCAGAATATGCTGCCGAAGTTTCCGGAATACAGTTCGGAGCACCCTGTATATTAGGGTGGCCCTTAATACGGATGTATCCGAATTTATTTGCACCCAGAATACAATACTTCCAAATTCATAAAAAAATTGCTTGAAAATTTTAGCTCTTAATATTAACTTTAAGATAGTCCGCTTTCCAACCTAAGTTTCTCATAGAAATAACATGAGGAAATTTCCATTTGTTTTTTAGAATTCCATAACTCTGCGACAAATAAATGAAAAGTAATTAATTGCGTCATGTTTATTGTAAATTCAACGCTCTACAAAAAATGTCTCTTATGATTTTTCGCTTAATCTATTGGCTTAAGAGTTATTCGAGATCAAAATTTAATTATCATATAATTATTAATATTATCAAGTATAGTTATTAAGTAAATATTTATTTTATAAAATATAAAGACATTTTCTTTTAAAATTTTGCACAGAAACTCTCATTCGTTACGCAGCCACCATTAACGAATCAGAGCTCTCAGTTCACCCAGAAATTCCCATACAAGTATCAACGATACCTTTGGGCTCATAAGTGCTGCCGCCTGACTGTCTGAGAAAGAAATTCTATACCATAGTAAATGTTATACAAACTAACTCACTGGAATTTAAATGGATCAATTTCAAAAAATTTAAATATGAATTGTGTATCACATTCAAAAATATTATGAAATTTTGAATTGAAGCAAGAAAGATAGGGCTTAATTTTTGAAATCTCAATTTTTTAATAATTAAATCAATTCAACATTAACCAAACCTGCAGAAATTCTCAATTTTGACGTATAGAGGAATGTCTGTCATATCCATAGAGTTCATTTGATCGATTGCATGTTCTATGTGAAAATATGAATTCAAACGCCTACCATCGAACAGACTTAACAGATGAGTACAAAAACTGTGTACCTACTCATTATATTTTATTATTCAACTAATATAGATGTGTAGTTTTGATTTGCAGAAATTATGCGCGAAACAGGAATAATAAAGCTCAATCGGACTTTTTTAAGAACTATCGGAAATATTCTGACTTAAATTATCTACTGTTATGATTGTGCCACGAGACTATCTATTATTATTTTGATTGTGCTAGTGTATGATTATTTATTATAAAAGTTGCTTTTCAAAGCTGCCTTGTATATTTTTAATGATCTACTATCTGTTTAGATGGCTGTTTATTTTATCCAATTATTGTATATGTAATACCTACATGTGAGTATTTTTTCAAAATTTTGATAATAATCAAAAGAATAAAGAATATTCTGGCTCTGAATTTCTGTCGTATCCAATTTTACCTGAAATATTCCCCAAAAACAATGCTAAACCCGTCGAATTCGTGACGCTCCCGCAGCAGGCTTTGCCACGGAATATTTGCGGCCTATAGGCCGGAGCAGGGCCGGATTCCATCCCTTCGTAATCGATATCCAGCCACTTAAAGTACTCGATACGTTCGGTGTGCGTGGATGTGAGCGAGATGTTGCTTAGGTAACTGAATACGCGCGGCGTGTTTAAAACTCAGACGGACGTATTAAGGGCAATAATGCAACGCGCGTACCAAGAGGGTGAGTTTGTCACTCTATAGATACCCCACGAAATCGTAGATGGAGAGTGCAGGAATTCTGATTGCGAAGAAAATTTGTTATAGATAGACTGATTATCTATTTAAAGAAATTATAGGTGCCAGGGGTTCTGTGTCTCTTATTATAAGTACGGATATCCAAAATTCGAGCCACATCATTGGATGTCGGAAACTAAAGAGATACGAGGTCGATTAAATGGAGACAATGTCGTCTAATATCATCCTAGTCCAAATGCGCCCTTCGAAGTTAAAAACTCGAATATTTGCCATATACATTTTTATTGAAGTGTAATCATCAAAATTTCATATGTCTGTTAAGCAAGTTAAGAACAAAACTTGAATTTTAGTTTAATTTGTTGTAGTAAGTATAAATGGTAGAGATAATAGTTACAGTGTATTCTGAAAATTAATTAGTCGAAAATTAATTTACGCGAACAAGCCAGGAAAAACATATTTTTTGGTTAAGTACTATTATATTATATAGCACTTTGTTAAGTACTATAAGAATAGATGTAGATCTAGAAAACATTTTCATATTATATTATATTATTTTCAGTGTGTAATGGGACGGTTTCGCGGCAGTAGTAATATTGGCTTTACGAAATGATTTATAAACCAGAATTACTACGAGAAAAAAAAACTTTACTGTATGTCGAAGAAAACTCCTATATCAGTAGTCGTCAACAATTAGGTAATCTAGTATTACTCTAATTTAGGACTATTCCCACCGACGGAAAATCCAAGTGTCATCTTTCATAATATAGAAATACACCAAGAAATTCACGACTGCGATTTTAGTTTATTTGAGTAAAGTTAATTAACTTTAACTATTAATAACAATTCTGTAACTAATTATTAAACTATTTGTTAAAGATAAGTAATAAATATTTTTGTTTTGTGATGATGTTATAGAGTAATTGTATTAAAAATCTGGGCAAAATTGAAAAACGAGAAAATTGGAATAAATCGCAAACTATTAAAAATAGGTATATTATGACCTCGATTATGACATACTTAAAAAAAGTTGAATAGTTTTGTAAAATCTATCAGAAAAAAAGATAATACATAGGGGGTACCATTTAAAAAAATTGAGATTTTTTAATTTAAGTAGTTGAAATTCATAAACATATTTTACAGACACCCGCATTTAACTGTAGTATTACACTGTAACATTTAACTAAAATATCTTAACTTAAACATCTTTTTTTTCATCTCTATAAAATTTTCCTACCAAATTTGGGTACTACAACTTCAGAAACAATGGTACCGCTGATCATTGCAAACTGCAATTTAACATTGGTTTAAACAAATTTAAATATTACAAAACTATTAATTTTAGGTATAGAACATTAAACATAAAAAGTTACGGAATTTTGCACAGAATCTAAAAATAAAATAAAAAACCTTGTATACTCTATAATAATTTTAAAATGTGTATCTTAACCTTTTCTATAACTTTCATATTTAACATTTTTTTGTAAACCTCGAAACAAATGAGATAATGTACTTTACTCTATCGTTGACTCACCCTGTACAACAATTAGTAGTGTAAGAAATATATCTACCTACTACCAGTTAAAATACTTGTGTTTATTTAAGAGACCAGGTTGATAAAAAAGAGACCAAATTGATAAAAAAACTTACTTGCAAATCTGGGGTCCGCTGAGCTTTGGTACCATCCAGAGGAGTAGTGGGAGGCAAGACCTAAATTTTCGGACACTGGGCAGTACTGGCCACCGCCGAACTGGCCCATGACGGGATAACCGCCGTTCATACTGCACGGACCAGTTCCTGTGATACCCGGAGAATTTATACTGCTTCCGCTTGAGGTTGATCTGGAATACAACATAAAAAGAAAAATTATTATATAGAAAAGAATATTTTTATTTACGGTAACTACTCATTACATTAAAGATAATAATTAACTATTGTACCGTATGATCGTAAAAAAACGGCGCCAAAGACGGCTGGGGAATGACAATCGATGAGAATTTTTGCGAGGTCAATCTCTAGACGTCTTTTACTAAAAATTGACATAAAACACAATCGCTAAAATTTCAAATTAATTGTCAAAATTAATGCTAATTATAGATATTACAAAATGTAATAATATACGGTCTAATGATAAGGTATAGTATTTCCGATGTCAATTGTAAATTGTAAATACTGGGACTAAATTGTAAATACTGGAAAATTCGTTTGTCTCTGCGGCGACAAAGAAAGTGCCGCAATTAAGGGTACCAATCTATTTCAATTGACTTCCGAAAAACTATAATATACAGGTATTTTTATGTTCTATTTAAAAAAAGTCATCCCGATCCACTCACACTTTTTTGAGCCACTCTGTAAAAAATATGTGTGTTAAAATATTTTAATGCATTACATCCTAGTATATACTTTAGTTTGGTACTTATACAAAATTCCTAAGTATTTTTCATTATAGGATGTCCGTCGCATTGTTGAACGTTGTACCCTAGCAACCCCTACTTGCGGCCAGTTTTTGATAGGCACCCTTATAACATCATGCACAGAATAAAAATAGCTTTAATTCGACATATAAATGATCCAAAAATTGTATAAGCCTAATATCGTCTCCAAAATCAGTTATTACTATTATTAATTAAACATAGTTGCGGCAACTTTTTGATAGGCACCTGGCACCCTATGGAAAGTGTATTCTCCTGGTCATAAATATACGTAAAAATTATATTTAGACGATTCGATTATGGAATTAGTGAAATCATTACCGTCTTGATAAATGTTGACATATAAATAAATGGAGATCATCCTTTCATAATTTTAAGAATGTCCAGTAACGAATTTGAAAACTTGTTATAATTATTTTAATTGATTAGATGCACACACGGACTACAAATAAAAACCCTAGTAAATAGTTGAGTGCCGTTTCCACCAAACAAACACTCACTTTTTATAGAGAAAAAAACAGCGAAAACACAGAACTCCTTTGTTAACGAAAACGCTAAACCAAAAATATCCCCAATATTGCTCATTTTGGAAGCTCCAGTTGCTGTTTTGTTGACAACAAAATTAGTGATGGTATAACTGGAGCGGAAATTCGCTTGAGTACTCGATTATTGAAATAACCGACATCGCTCGGTTATGAACAAGCGATGCAAGTGACGAGTTCCAAGCGGCGAACGCAAGCGATCCTAAAATGATATAAATTGAAATCCGATTTTAATGTGACATACTCGATAAAAAGCCGAGCGAATTTTCTACATATACATTACAGGTAGCAAATTTATTCGACACCGTATATATATTTATCCGTTGCGTATCTGAGGGACAAAATCTTTCGACCTACATCGACAACGCTTTGAAATAAACTAAATCAAGCGATCAAGCGAATCGCTCGCCGCTTGCTACTTGCCATTGGTCACCGAAAGAATATATATGTGCCCTACGCACGCAACTTACTGCTTGCCGCTTGGCGTTAACGAGTACTTACAACAAGCGACGGGTGAGAAACCGTATTTTTAAATACGAGTGATATTTCGCTCGAGTGATCACTCGGTTATTGCAATCGCTTGATACCCGCGAGTACTCGATTATTGAAATTAATCGGTTTTTCCCATCACTAAACAAAATCTCTGTTTCGTCCGTTTGATGGAAATCCGCCTTTAAAGTAAAAAAATACGTCATCTCACCTACCTGTACGGTGATGGCGGATTGGCCGCCAATTCCAGCTTCCTATACGACTCCTCGATAGGACTGAGAATGTCTGTAACGCTGAACGGAGTGCTGTGGTGTAACTGCTGAAGATGGCTGAGCGATCCCTGACCCAGATGCCCTTTGGGGCTCAGGCTCATTGCCAGCTCCACGCCATTGAGCTCGGGCAAGAGGCTCTGTAAGTCGTTGTTGCCCCCGGCGCCACTGCCGTCGTTGCCTCGATCCACCACCGGCACCACGGGACCTTCCCCGTAGTTGCCACCTGAAGAGTGAAACAAAATAGAAGGATGAGATAAAAAACAGCTATGTTCAAATTTTATTATATGAGTTCAGAGCTGCAACAAGTCAGTTTTAAAAAGACTTAAGTCATTTCTAAAATCAAAATGATTTAAGTCTTATGTAAAGTACGTAGTCAAATTCAACATAAAGTTCGAATGATTTAAGTCTTAAGTCTTTGACTTAAATCATTTTATTTCAAGTCAAGTCATTTTTGTAAAGACTTAAATCAATATAACGTTATTTAAGTCGTTTTTATGACTTAAGTCTATCAACGCTGCGTTCCCCACTGCGCATTGAAAGAAGATCCTATATTTTTATTAGTCCTTTAAATTCTAGTATTGAATATAAACCAACCGAGTCTCCATAGCTCAGCGCGTAGAGTTTCCGACCACGAACCGATGATTCAGAGTTCGAATCCGGGTCGGGGCAAAGATTTTTTTATTTAATTTTTGTTTATATTCTGATAGTAAAGTATTAAATATTTATTTTGATTTAATTACCAGAATTATTATTAATTTAGAGCATAGTAAAAGATATATCAAAGAGCCACCTTTCTTAAACTACTTTCTCGAAAACGTTGCTAGCTCTTAGACTAATAGGTTTTCTAATAAAAGTTTTAGAAAAATCCGAGGGGTGAACAGCTGCAGGAGGTAGGTTTACATTCGAAAGGAAGTACGCGGGAATTCCTAGGAAGTACCAGGAAGTATATAGGATTTTTTAACGTTGCGTCGGTGTGTTCTAAAATCAAAGTTGACATAATAATAATGACATATAACAGATGCCATTAGTATCCAGTGACGTCATAATGGTTCCCGCGCTATTGTTTCTGTTTGAATTAGTTTGGCAGGGAGTCCAATATTTGGTGTATTGCTCGGTATATTGTTTTTTTATACAAAAACACATAAATTAAGAAGCTCAGTGGCGTGTCGTATAGGGGGCCAGGGGAGGGAACGCCCCCTCCGCCCCTATGCGCTTTGCGCCTCTGGCGCCTTTTGAAAAAAAGATAGATTAACTATATTTAACGCAAAAACAAACGGTGCCCTACCATGCCCTTAGCTCTTCAAGATAAAAAAATGACGTATACATTTCTCACATTTTATTTTTGTTTTTTTAATGTTTACTTATATTTAATAATTTAAATCTCTAATGAAGTAGGCGTATACATACGAAAGTTTTCATATGGGTTTGAAACTATGCTACCGCTAGACCATTGTCTATAAATAAAAATACAATGGCTAGACATAACGGCCGCCAAAGAAGAAGACGAAAGCAGTCGTGATGGAAATAAATTCGGGGAATCACCGACCGAAATATAATCGGTTATAAGTGCTGAATAAAATAATTAATATATTGTCCAATCACTTGCAAAAGGTTAATATCAACTTATGTACAGGGTGGGTAAAATTCGACGCTTTTAAATGGAAACACCCTTTTCTATAGGAGATAGACAAAAACTAACATCGATGTCTGGAGCTCAATTTTTGTTAAAAACGTGATGGTGAAAACCGCATATCGATATCTGTTACCGTTTCGGAGTTACGGGGTGTTTTTCAAAAATATGTATTTTTAATAAATCGCTGTAACTTTTTTGCTATGGAAAATTTTGTATTTTTACGAAAACATTTCCAAAGCACCTTTTTACGTAGAATTTAATGGTTTAAGTATAATTTTTTAAAAATTAATAATTTAAGAATTATTAACAGAAAATTTGATTTTTTTATGGGACACCCTGTATATTTTTAATTTATTGAAAAGAATTTTAAATTACCTTTCCAAAAATATAACACACTTGATATTTTGCTCGGTTCCCCTTCGAGATATCGAGTATATAAAAATTCGCCCGCTTTAATTAAGTAGGCTTTGAACGGCACCGGCTGTAATGCAAAAAAATTCTAGCTGTGAGCATCAGTTAAAACGAAAATAATATTTCTATGAGAGATGCAAATTTTTATAACAATTTAAAATATATTTAACCAACATCAACACATTTAAACTATATCTAATAACTATAAAAATAAATAGCAAACCAAGACAGGAGATTTTGCTACAGGTGTTCAACATATCGACCGTCTTCTGTTATGGACAGACGGGGCAGTTTCTCGCGGAATTCATTAACTCAGTAGGGGTGAAAGATACCCTCTCATAACTGCTAAGTATTTCTAATTCTTGTCTAGATTATACGGAAAAATAAGGAACCTTTATTCTTCCGCAAATATATCCATAGGATTAGATCCATGGGCACTAAGTCAGGCGGCCTCGACGGCCAACGGCTGGGATCTTGGTTAGCTATTCAATTATTCTTGAAATTGGCTGCAAAAATTTGCTGATAACTTCAGCGTTCAGAGGCGGTGCGTTGTCTTGCTGGAAAAATATGTTTTCGAGTTCCATTAAGGGCATATCATCAATAAGGGGTCCAAAGCCTACTAGTTAAAAGTGGCGAACTTTTAAAAATTCTGTATTTCGAAGGGGATTATAACAAAATATCAAGTGTGCTATATTTTTGGAAAGGTAATTTTAAATTCTTTTTAGTTAATTAAAAATATAGAGGGTGTCCCAAATATAAAAACTATTTTTCTGTTGATAACTCTTAAATTATTAATTTTAAAAAAATTATACTTAAACCATTAAATTCTACGTAAAAAGGTGCTTTGGAAATGTTTTCATAGAGATACAAAATTTTCCATAGTAAAAAAGTTACAGCGATTTGTTAAAAATGCAAATTTTTGAAAAACACCCCGTAACTCCGAAACGGTAACAGATATTGATATGCAGTTTTCACCATCATCTTTTTGATGAAAATTGAGCTCCAGACACCGATATTAGTTTTGGTCTATCTCCTATAGAAAAGGGTGTTTCCATTTAACAGCGTCGAATTTGACCCACCCTGTACAGCTGCTCATATGATTACTGCGGTAACTAAAGATCTCAAATCATTAAGAAGTGAAAAATATTTTGAAAATTTAAGAAAAAATAGGCTACTATTTTGGCAAATAAATGCAATACGTCAACATTATTTTCCACAAAAAGACAAAGAGGAATAAAAAAAATTCATGATGAAATCCAGAATCCAGAATGATTACCTACATCAAAATTCTGAAGATAATTTCAAGATATCAGTGTTTTATGGTACTTTAGACATTTTAACTGGTACTCTAGAGAATCGGTTTGAAGATTTCCTTAATATATGCCAAAAATTTAATTGTTTATTGGATATGGACGTCAATGACAATTTAAAATGTCTTGTGGATCTACAGATATTGTACCAAGCGGATGTTAAACCTTCTTTAGTTGAGGAATATAAACCTTTTTGTGTAGTTTATTAGAAGAAATTAATGCTGATGATAACAAACTTGCACCTGACAAATATTTATCATTTTTAATTTCCAATGACCTAGACTCTTCATATCCATCTTTATGTGCATTACTGATGATTTTTTACACTATAGCCATCAACAGTGCTGGTGCAGAACGATCTTTCAGTAGATTAGGACGAATTAATGATTACCAGAGGTGCACCAGCACACAAGATAGTACCAATTATTTATCACTTCTCAGTATTGAAGCAGACACAGTCCAGGATCTAAATATAGACCAAATAATTCATTCTTTTAAATCGGTTAAAACAAGACGCTTTCATCTTTGAAATAACTGTTTTGTATACTAACTTTTTTATTAAACAAATTTATAATTAAAAAAAATAAAAGTTTTCATGTAGTCTTATTATTTAAAAAAAAGTTTGTAATTTATTTGATCCTTTATTGATCATTGTGCCCCTTAAGGCCTTCGCCCCCTCCTCCCTTTTATCCACGACACGCTACTGAAAAAGCTTATTATCTGAAAGCAAAATAACACTGAACTCTCGACTGAACTGCTACGGACTAGGACTGATTTAAAATTGGAAGATAAAATGAATTTTAAGGCAGCTCAAAAATATGTTCCATTGAAGTCTTTGAATTATTTAATACTGGTGCTGAGGGTGCAGGAACCAACCCAATTTAAAAAGAAGGTTATAAAATTTATGTTATTGTGTGTTTTTTTACGTATTTGACGTAAATGGCTAATGATGAATAATAAGAAAATTGGAGAACATTTTATTTCAAGTAACTGTTACAAGCTGTTACACATATGCATCGAGTTGAACGCTCATGCTGTGATTAATTTAATTATACATTTTCGAGAAAATCCAAACCTCACAGAGGATATGTTCCTTCCTTTGCTTTTTATCAGTAAAAGCTGTGAGAAAATATTCCGAGCCACAAGGTCCATGACAACAACGCAATCTATGGTAGTAAATTATAGTATTAAAGACATACTGCAACGATTGGACAGAATGAGATCGATTAATAACATTACCCATGATTCTTAAATCATAATAATAAACGTATTACTATGATTATTATGTAAATCATAATATTATTGATTATTATGTAAATCATAATAATAAACGTATTATAGCTCTTAAGCTATAATACGTTTCCCAAGAGAGCAGAGAAGATTTGAAAGAGTTTACTGATCATTACATTGAGAATATTGTGATGGACGATGGACCCTTTGCAGGAAGCACTTGCTGTAACTGAAAAGCTGGGAATGCAAGTTGAAAATTTTTTTGGCAATTTTGTCACTGTGTAACTGTATTGTTTTCTCATTAGATTAAATTATTACAGGTGACGAGGATAAGTCTAAATTAAACGCCTATATGCATATTTTTATTTATCTGATTATGGCAACGGATTACACAAAGGAAATTTGTCATTGTTTCAAACAAAAAAACTTGTGGCACACCTTGTTTCGCGAAACAGTATCATATCTATAAAAGTTTTGAGGAACGGTTTTGCAAAGCCGTGTAACCAGCTGTATACCGTTCGCCGTTGCATACACAATTAATATCATCTATCCATAGAAATTAATTCAACTGTAACTGGGGGGTAAAATATTTTATTAAGTTAAATTGTTTTTGTGGTCAGGTCAGGGTTGCCACCCGTCCCAATTTGGTTGGGACCGTCCCGATTTTGATCCAACAGTCCCGCGTCCCCACGCAAAGCCCTAATGTTCCGGTTTCTATTAGTTTATAGCCACGTAAATTTTTTTAATCCATAAAATTGTAAAAATGATTATTAAAAATATGTTTATTACATTCTTGAATTTAAAACAGTTCTTTTCCACAAATTAATTAAAAATAGAAATTTTAGAATTAAAAAATATTGATACCCTTTTTAATGAATATTCGACAATAAAAACTTGCATAAAGGAAATTTGTGAAAACGGTATAAAAATTATAGATAAAAAAATAAAGTAAAACTAGAGTAAATAATAATGCGCCTTCATTATTTAAAGTTTTAGTTCTATATTAAGTGTGCCATCATCTATAATGTTTGAGTACGTGGAAATAATATTCTCATGTATGATGTTGAAGTAGACAGACACTAGAAATAGATGTTCAGTTAAGCTCATTAGAATGGAACTTCAAATCTCATTTAATTTTAATATGACCTGTTTGGAATTTTTGAATTTTACTAAAAGTGACAATAAGGTTCTTATTATTACAGCAACAAAATCAAATAAAATATATTCATTACACTTAGGCTGGGAACATTTGGTGTTACAACAGCTAAATAAAACACTAATTAACCACAATTCATCAAGAGAGACATTTTACTTTTAACACTGGACGCGCGTTTTGCTAACCATGCTGAATTTGAAGCTAACCATCAGTTTTCATCATCTGCTTATAATGCTAACATGGTTAACGAAACGCGCATCCAGTATTAAAAGTAAAGTGTTTTGGTGTATTGTGCTGAATTAGTGTGTTATTTTGGTAAAAAATATGCATTCAAAAATTCAATTAATTGATTGTTTTGGTTTGGTTTGGCTACCTACTTTTTTGTTTTCAACGTTTCTTTTTTATTTTTACAGAATTATTTATAAATTTCGAATAGTTTTTTAAGTCAACGCAAAAAGGCATAAAATATTGTTTGAAAATTCGATGGGCATATAATATTTTACATTTAAGACAAAAGAATGTGTCAGTGCTGTCCCGATTTTTTAAACACAGAAGGTGGCAACCCTGATGGGTAAGGTTTCCCGAGCGCTTTTCCAAATCCGGGCCCGAGACTTTAAAAATCAAAACATGTCCGGGTAAATCCGGACATATGGAAGCCCTAGGTATAACGTATGAATCTGAAACTAAATTTTACCTGCAGACATGGACTCCAGGACCGCGGAAGTATGTCCGCCGGCTGCAGTGTACCCGCTGTCCGCCGTTCTTAATCCATCCGCGGCATAAAAAAATCGGCGGCGACACCTCGAATCGTCCCAGCAGCGACCGGAAATGACGACGCCCGCTTCCGTCGCAGAGAACCACGAACCCGCGCGCCGCTCGATCCACTCTTCAGAACCACTCCAACACTCGAACCGATATCCCAATTCGATAAACAAACCGACTAACTATATAAATAAATCAACGATCGGGCTATAGCACTCTTTATAGAGCACCCTTGATGTAAGACTCTTTAGCTGCGAAGAGCGCTTAACTCGCCTAAGCGTACTCTTAGAGTGCCCTCCAAGTGTACATGGCACTCTCTGCTGCATTCTGGGTACTCGAGATTTAAAACGGGCGGAGCTTCTGCCCCTCCGACCAATCCCGACTCTCGGTTTCCCCTAAAAACACGCCTTACAAAGCCTGCTAGATTCGCCTTTCCTTCCCCAAGGCGTACGGGTCAAATTACCCGGACAGTTAGGTCAATTCTCGCCTTTAAGCGCCTAACGCGAAAGTCACAATTTGGGCGGAACATAGAATCAAAATCTATACTTTTAGAGTTTGATTGGGCGCATCGATTGGAGCAGGCTGGAGCACTCTTTGCGACTCCTATGAATCTTTCGATTTTAATGTGCATTTCTATATTGTGGAGATTGGAGAGGGTTGTAAATTATGATGGAAATATTGTCGAGATGTAATTACATTCTTTGGAACCGTTTGAATCAGGTTGATTTCTTTGTGAGAAGAGAGAAACTGTTTTCAGCACGATCGACATCTGTTCGCTTTGGGCACGGGCACTGAATAGGAAATGAATTAATTTCCTTTGTTACCTACATCTTTTTGAAAAAATATGTGCTAAAGTATAAAATATAATACTTTAAAACTTCTAAAATGTATTCAATAAAGTTACTAAATATTTTTGTGAGTGACAATTTATTTTATAATCTGTACCTACTTATCTCTTTTATTATTTACTCAGTAAAAGTATAATTATTGCAAGTGCAGCAAGTGTCTGTATGATCGAATAAAAACGGCGTTTTTTTTCCAAGCGAAAAAAGTTCGCTTGGAAATTTCGATTAAATTCCCCATATAATTTTGCATACAAAATGACAGCGATCTGCATTTCATTGTCATCGCTGACGCCGTTTTTTTCGATCATTTCGACGTTTCGTCCGCTACGAAAGCCTATCACCAATGAATCAAATAAAAAAATCATCCGATTTAAGTGGAATTTGGTATGTCGATACATTGGACCAAAGCGAGGACCAAAGCCAACTTGACCGTGTCCGACACATGTCATTGTGACAGTTAGTTTTGACATAAGAAACGTTAAAAGTTGATGTCGTCCGATCGCGACCAAATTTGATGGGTAGGGTAGATGTAGGGTATGTACTATAAGCGACATGACGGTGCACACGGCCCCCACACTGCAAAAAGTTTGATACGATTTTTCGTTTACATCTTCATCTAGGTGGGACTAAATCCTTTGTCTTAAGAATTGACCGATTGGAACTCAACACCCAACTTGGTATCCGAATGAAATCCTCAGACGGACAGACGGACAGGTAGACAGACGAAAATAAGAAGAAGTTTCACTTCAAATATGCGCACATAATGCACAATTTTGTTTTTTTAAGAAATCAATGAATGTTATTTATGTTAACATTTACCGCACTTTGGTCAGTTAGTGAAAATTATTTTTTTTAAAAGGTTGCTATGAGACTTCGATTATGGCAGATTAATAAAATATTGCGTTTATCTCATCACATAGATCGAAATTGAAAAATTATTTTAATCGGCATTAAAAGGGCCTACACAATTTTGTTAACAAGAGAAAAATCTCAGTGGCGCACATGTTTTTTATAAAATTATACCAGTGATAGCCCATATGCACATCCCTAGTTATTAGAGATGAGCAACAAATCGCAAACTGCGATTCAATCGTAGCAATTTTAAAATTTCTTATAATTAAAATAAATTTACATAGGAAACTGCGACTGCGAATTTTTGGGATTGTAATTTTGTAATCTAGGACCGTGTTAACTTTCTATCTGCGAGTTTCAATTTTTAAGAGTTGCGATTTGCGATTTTCTTGCGAATGGAATTTTGTGGTCCATTGAAGCATTTTATAGTAAACTGCGATTGAATTTTTTCTCTCATTTTATTTATTTATAGAGAAGGTAATATTTTTTAGGGCGAAGATCATAATATACCGGGTGTTTCTCAAGAGTGGTTCGCCTCTATAATTTTTTTATATTTTCTAATAAAAAACGAGATTTGGTATGCAAGCATATGACATAAATTAGGACTGATTAGCGTATTCAATTCGATTCGATCCAGTGGCGGACTAAGCCTGTCGGGGGCCCGGGGCGGCGAAGCTAAATGTGGCCCCCGGTCTGTTTAGATAATGATATACTTCTAATGAACATTTTGTAAAAATTGAATGACGTATGTATAATGGTTGACAAAATTCAAGTATTTATACAGGGTGTCCCAGGCTGAGCCTGCGTTAGAAGTTTCTAGAGAACTACAATATCCAGATATGAGATTTTGTGCATATCATTGTTTCACAATGAGATCTACCGATTAAAAATATTTTCAATATGGCGGCACTTTCGGAAGTACCGGAAGTTGACAGCAACTTTCTTATTTTAAATGGGTGACCCCATTTTTTATTACATACTTAAATTCTCTGTAAATTTTTATGAATTTTGATATTAAACACTCTAGACCTAACGTTAACCGTTTTTGAGAAAAAAAAAATATTTATAATTTTTGGAGGAAAAAAATTGCCTGTCAAAAATATGTATATAGCCTAAACGTCAAATTTAGTGATTGCCACAGCCACTGTACCATAAAGAGAAGACATGTGGCTATCGTCAAAAATTAAATTGTCCGAATGTCATATAATAATGGCCGCAGCTGTCATGGAATTGAGCGATTAAAAAATTATCATAAATCAAAGCTGTTTTTTTTTGGATCGTACGGTATATAATTAAAATATCAACTATTAGATATCACTAAAGAACGAAAATACGAGATATATTTATATAAATACACTTTTTAAACTTTTATGCAGGAGTAGTTATAATATAGGAAATTCAAATAATTCATTTTCTGACAGATGGAAATAAATTGTCTGACTGTTTGACACTTAATGTCAAAGGAAGCTAGATAAAATCAAGAAAAATATACGTTTTTAAACTAAATCTTAAATAACTTAAAAACGATTGATTTTAGGTATAGGAATATGTCTAGTTAAAACGAAACGAATTGGAAAACCTTTTCACTAGTGAAATAAAAAAAGTGGGTTTCCATTTGAAAAAAAATATTTATGATAATTTTTTAATCGCTCAATTCCATGACAGCTACCGCCATTATTATATGACATTTGAACATATTAATTTTTGAAATAGATAGCCATGTCTTTTCTTTATGTCACAGGGCCTGTCATAATCACTAAATTTGACTTTTAGGCTGTACAAATTTTTTTCGCAGGTAGTTTTTTTCGTCCAAAAATTTTAAATATTTTTTTCTTAAAAATGCTTCCAGTGAAATACCGCGATAAAATATCGCGATTTTGTAAGTCCTCCAAGATCCGAGGAGCCCCTTCGCTGTCTCAGGCCCGTGGCCCCCGTTATACTAAAGACTTCACTGCTCATCATCAGTAATGAAGCTAGAATTCAAGTTATGCTAATGCACAGCATAACTTGAATTCTAAATGTATGGTTGTAATTTAAAATGTTTATTCAGTAAAAATAAATAATAAAACCATTGAAAAATAAATTAAAAGCTAAAAGAAATAAATTCAGTCTCAAAAAATATTAAAAATAATAATTATTCGATATTTTAAACAAAGAAAATTACCCCTTGATTTAATTTCTTAAATAGAAAATGCCATTGACAATTATTGGGGCCTGATAATTGATAAATAATTAAGTAAATATCTGCTTCCATTTATACTGTTTATAGTTGGCGTATACGTATGGTTTGCATACTCCACCTAGAAATTGCTTTATAACTACTGGACACATACATATTGGTCTTGTTTACCAGTTGAATAAAAATTACTTATTAAGATTCGGAGGCCCCCTAAAAGACGGGGCCCGGGGCGGTCCGCCCCTTCCGCCCCCCCCCCCTTTATCCGCCACTGATTCGATCACTTCCTGCAAAGAATATTATAGTTAAGAATTATCTTTGCTTCCTGTTTCACCTGAAATGACTACAACTTTTGATTTAATCGATAGAAAATGACACTCTGAATAGAATGCCTAGTACAATATTTAAATATTAAAATCGCAATCACAGGTTACAGTCGCAGCGATTTAAAAGAAGGAAAAAAAATATAATAAATTGAAAAAAAAACTTTATAATCCTCTGTGGCTCTACAAAACAAAGCAGTTACAAACACTATGTTAATATGAAAAATAAGTATTAATAAAAATAAGTATTTTCCTTACCTGAGAAATCTCTCTGCGAGATATTGCAAATGCTTTTTTAAAACACTGTATAAAATATTAATTTTCTTAAGCATTTTATTTATTTCATTCATATAAAATATAAAAAAATGTACCTAACTTTCGTTCTTACAAAACTATAAGAAAAATGTAGAGCTTACCTGATGATATATTTTTATCCTTTTCAAACAACCAATATAATGCTTCTGGCTAAAGAATACATGAATTATGAATCAGAGTCTTTTATTCAAAAACCCTTTTACGAGACGGCCCTTGGCGCTACTACTACTACATGTTTCGATGGGTTTTAACGCATTTTAAGAGTTCTACGAGGACATGGACGCGAGGATTGTTAGTTATCAACAGCCCTCGTGGTCCACTCGCTCTCACCACTCGACGCCGCCTGTATACCGGCCTTTAGAGGGCCTCAACTAGCGGTATCAGAGCCGAGTTAAGGGCGTTGTCGTTTTGTTTTGCAAAGGATTAAGTTCTGGTGACGTAATGTTTTAACTTCGAGGGACCTATTAACGCTTAGGGGTATTAAAATTAGAAGTATGGTAAATGTCCCAATTATCGTCACATTAAGGGAATATCTCAGTTCAGTTAGCCATAAAATCCGAATTGTTACAATAAGGCGTACAAGAAAATTAAATATGACACTAGTGACATTTTAATTTAATATTAAATAAATCTTTAATAAGATATTTTCGATTATTTTTCAAGAAAAACTAAAAAAACTACAATTGCTGCAAATATCGTCACCTCTCTACGGGCATCTGCAGTTCCTATAATAAAAAAGTTAGAAAT